GTCGAATACAAGCCGGGCAAGCTCAACGTGCTTGCGGACGCCCTCTCTCGGCGTCCCGACTATGAGTTGGCCCACATCACGCGGGTGACAACGGATCTATATGATCGGATACGCATGGCGTATCGGGACGATGAGGCTGTCGCGCCTATCGTCAAGTTCCTTAAGGCCGGAACGAGCGCGAAGTCCGACTGGCTCTCGTCGCGACAGCGCTCACGGCTCCACCGATATGAGTTGAAGGAGGGCCTCCTCTATTATCGGGTGGAGCCCACTGATCCTCCACGAATGGTCGTACCCAACGACGAGGATCTGAAGCTCGACATCCTCGCGGAGGCGCATGACGCGCCCTCCAGCGGCCACTTGGGCCGCGAGAAGACCTTTCTGTCGGTCCCTCAGTCCTTCTGGTGGACCCACATGTACAAGTGGGTCGCCCGGTACGTCAAGACATGTGAAACATGTCAGCGGGTCAAACCCGCAGGGCACTCTCCGGCTCCACTACAGAGCCTGCCCGTACCGGCTGATTGTTGGAAGTCGATGAGTCTTGACTTCATCTTTGGGCTTCCCGCCGACGGACACGGCAACACCGGAATTTTGGTGTTCGTGTGTCGGCTGAGCAAGACGGTACATCTTGCTCCAGTTCCCGTCACTGTAACGGGCGAACAAACCGCCAGGTTGTTCGTCGATGGCGTGCTCCGCTATCACGGTCTCCCGAAGACGATTGTCTCGGACCGAGACCCGCGGTTCACTGCCGCGTTTTGGAAAACGCTGTTCCCTTTACTGGGAACTCGTCTGCAGATGTCCACTGCGGACCATCCGCAGACCGACGGCCAAACAGAGCGCGTCAATCGAGTGCTCGAGGACACTCTGCGCAGTGTGTGCGCGGCAGCACCACGTACGTGGTCGACGCAGCTTCCAGTTGTTGAGTTTGCGCTCAACAACGCGGTGCACGCGTCCACGGGGTTCACGCCGTTCTACTTGAACGGCTTCCGCCACCCCAGAGTGCCTCTCACTCTTCGAGGAGACACTGACTCCTCTATTCTAAGTGGGGGAGAGGCTCGGAAAGCCCTTTCCTCCCAGGTCTCGGATGTGAGACCGGTTTCGCTGTGGAAACAGGTGGAATCCTTTATGGATACCAAGCTGAACATTATCAGCAGGGTCCGCGATGCCATGGCAGCGGCCCAAGATAAACAAAAGGAGTACTCAGACAAACAAGGAAGAGGAAACTTAGGTATATTTGAGGTTGGGGACTTAGTGTTGCTAGACACGAGGAACCTACCTCTAGACACTGTTAGCTCTGTCGGCAGCAACAAACTGAAGCACCGCTTCATCGGACCTTTTGCAGTCCTGGCCAGACATGGTGCGTCGTACACCATCGACCTCCAAAGTCAATGACGACGCACCCGACGTTCTATGTCGGACGTCTTAAGCGGTACTTTGACCCGCAGGGGGTTGCTGACTCGCAGTCCCCCCTTGACCCAGCTCCTCGAAGCGAGAGCCGGTCACAGTCGTCGACGAGGGCGTCGGAGCAGGCACCCAAGCCTCGGTCGGGACGGCAAGGCTGCGGTCAAGACCGTACGCCGGAGGGGCTCCATACGAACGGACCCCGGCGCCATACGCCGAGTACGCTGAGTACGCCGGGTACGCACCATACGCGTACGTCTGGGAGTGTGCCGCAGGCGGCTCCGGACGTGGCAACAAAGCCTCGATCCGTCGGATCATTCGAAAGGCCTCGTCCAGATCGGACGAAGAGGCCCGGCGATCCACCCGCAGGTGCAGGCTCGCGACCTCTCGCTCCACCAGGTCCAGGCGTCCCGCAAGACGAGCGAGCTCGCCCTGATTCCCGGCCTGGGCGGCAGCATTACCGCCAGTCCCAAGGCCAAGTGCAATCTCAAGCACGAGGACACGTTGACGGAGGCGGTCAACCTCAGGGTCCTGTGTCGGACCCGCAGTCGGAGCACTCGGACGAGAGTGGCTCTCGGGAGGCGCCGAGTACTCGTACTTGTACGAGGGCACCTCCGCACCTGCTTGACCGGAATGGAGAAGTCCACTTCCACGTGGAGCGGATCCTCCAGGAGCTTCGGTGTCGCGGTAAGCGACAGCTCCTCGTGAAGTGGAGGGGTTATGCCCACTCCCAGAACTCGTGGGAGCCGATTGAACGGCTCCTGATTGACTGCCCGAAGGCTGTCGCAATCTGGGAACAGAAGCGGCGGCAGCTTCATAAGTAGTCCGGGGCTTCTTGCCCGAACGGGGTACGGTCGATGAATACATACCGTACCCGCGCTCATCGTGAGCGCTAGAAGCCGCGCGCTTCAGGATGTCCCTTGGCAGCATACGCTTGCTGATCAAGGGGGCAAACCTCACACGAAGATCACGCTGGTCCAGGATGTGGGACAGCAGCTGATCTTCATGATGTTCCCATAACTCCGTGGGCGAGTACTTGAGAGTCTCCACCCACGCCCAGAACATGTCCTCACAAGAACTCCACGTGGGACAGTTCTCGGGCATAACCCAGGGGTATCCCCAAACAGAATAGAGACCACCCCGGGTCTCGGGCTTCTTACGACAGGTCGTGAAGTCCTTAAGGGGAATGCGGTCTGGCGCGAGAAGCACACACCGAGCAGCCTCCAAGTTGTCGACGAACATCTGTTCTTTCTGAACAAGGGCTCGTTCATAGATGCCCCTAGAAGTGTGGCCGCCCACAAGGCCACGAGGAGCGACGAGAACCTCCAAGAAGAGGTCAGCCCCAGAGCTCTCCTCGGGAGGCCAATACCCTCTTGAGTTGATGGCAGCTCCCTGGCTGACGGGTGCCGCCACCGAACCCCCACGCACATGCTGGGCAGCTTGGAAATCCTCCTGCTGCTGGTCGAGGTCATTCGAGACCTCCCGGAGCTCAACAATATCACCCTCCTCTTCCTCTTCTTCCTCCTTCTCCTCCTCTTCATCCGAGGAGCCGAAGAGACTCTGATAGTAGCGTCGAGTCTCCTTCTCCTCGCGGAGTGGAGACTTAGAGGCGGTACGCTTCTTTGAGGACTTGGCGCCTTCGGCTTTAGAGGCCTTAGCGCGCGCAAGACCCTCGGCAAGCGAGAGACGTTTGCGAGGATTGTCTTCCTCATCGCCACCGGCTTTGGGAGCGCCCTTAGCCTTAACGGCCGGACTCTCAGTGCGCACAGAGGTCCTGGGACTGTGATCACCGTGATCACTAGTGGGCGACTGCACGCTGTCATCTTTGTGCTCACTGGGCACTGGGCTGTGCCCTCCCACAGAGCCCGCAGGAGCATCATGAGTGCTCTCGGACTCGGCATCGTCTTCACTGTCCGAGTTGAACTCACGTTCTACGAACCGAGGGTTCGGACGATTGTCTGAAGATGAGGGCGACGGACTGCGACGCCTGCTTGCGCGCTTGTCCACAGCCGCGTCACCCGAGGATCCGATCGCCTCGGAGGCCACCTGAGTAGCCTCCTTGAGTGCAGAGCCTTTGCCGTGAGGCTTAGTGCTCTTGGCTTGCGCCTTACCGGCAGCCGCCTTGGAGTGTGTCTTAGCACCGCTCTTTGCAGTGCCACGAGGCATGATAACGGTCGAAGTGGAGACCTAGACGAAGAGCGCACAGGTTGCTGCTCGAGGCTCTAGCTGTGAAGTGAGCCTCCGCCGCGCTCGCGCGGCCAAGTCGATGGTTTTCGACTTTGAGAATGAGAGTTTGTGAGGAACACCTCTTCATTCTGATTGGTCGGTAAACCGAACCTAAGTGGGGGAGGATGTAACGGGGTACGTAGCCCTAAGTGTACCCTGGTTACGTGAAGTGTGACACTTCACACTTCAGGAGTATGACACGTCATACTCCGGGATATTTGGTACAAGGTACCAAGATCGTTCAAAGCCAACCATTGGCTAAATGACATTGCATTTCTATAGGTAACTTATAGTTTGTATTAAACCCAAACTTAACCTACCTATAAATATACTCAGTTTACAATCTACCTTATTTAGGTCACTTCGCTCTCTTTAATTAAAGAGGGGACCTGTGAACTGCCGTTCACTGAGAGTTTGTATACTCTCGGAAGATAACTTCCTCTAGCGCAAGGTGCTGTGTGACCCCGTCACAGGCTCGGCCAGGGACACGTACGTTGTCGGGTTCAACGGGAACCACCCTGACGGGACGGCTGGACGAGGAGTGATTCCAGGGCCTTGAGTCATCCCGACGGGAGGCAGAGCTCCTGGAATGACCCCTCCGCTCCCGGGTACGGGACACTGTTCAAGCCCGCTTAAGAAAGAAGGTTGGAGCTTCGAGGCAAAGACCGCTAACGAGTTTTTCAATCTTACTTTCCATTTCCTCTTCTAAGTGTGTGGTCGTGGTCATACGAACTAAAGTGGCTATTCCAATATTCCAAGAGCAAAAATTCGTCTGTAATAGACGTAGATTGATGTCATCTTTATCATAAGCATAAAACAATAGAATAAAGCGGCTCCTATACTGTATGGTAACGAAAAACCGATAAATCGGGGTACCGAAAGTGAGAGATTTCGCATGGTTAAAATCTGGAAGTTTAAAATAGCTCTTTGTTTTGACCAATCATGTCTTTCGACTTGCTGCTTGTGTTAGATTTGAGAGAAGGTCAAGCTCCACCACAGGCAAATTCATTCATTGAATTCTGCGTCACGGGCCATGATTCATGGCGTGGCTCATGCCGATTCTGATCACATCAAATCTGCGCGACAGAAGATCTCGATGCAGAGCCGGTTCGCTTTGACGCCGTCTTCAACATCCATGTCTTCACCATGGCCATCAAGTTGATGATCAACCTGCAACAGCGTCAATACTGTATTGTACATGTATGTTTCCATCAACTTGATGGCATCAAGTCTACAGTAGACTACTGTACTACTGTCAGTTGTGGCTCCTTCCATATTCCGCGGGGGGTGGGGGGCCCTCGAATAGCACGTCGCATAAATAGACGTGCGTGCGTGGCTCACAGAATTTGTAGGGGCGACCAGTTGAAAATCCGTCAGCCAGCACTTACATACAGGTATCAATCTTTCATGGGGAACGCCGCCGCCAAAGAAGCCGCCACCCCACCGCCAGCGCCAGCCAAGGAGCTGCCAACGCAGCAGAAGACGGAGCCGTCGTTCCGCGTTCTCTCGGCCGATCAGCGTGCCATCACCTTTGATGAGCGCAAACACCTGCGAACTGGCGCCGACGCTCGCGCCGACCGTGTGACCCTCGGTGCCATGGCCGACTTCCGGCCTCTGCAGCGCGCCGCTACGTTTGACCCACGTCTGCGCTCGCAGAAGCAGCTACTGACGGCGTCCGACGTGATGCACCGACGTTTCTTTAACGCATGCGAGCGACGCGTAAGTACGAGCGCAGAACGCAACCTGTTCCGCATCGCTGAAGGCGACAAGGAGCGCCAGGAGGCAATTGTGGTCGTGGATCCGTATTCGACGGGTAGTACCATGGCCGAGAAGGTCCTGGAGCGTGGCTATCTCTGCGTCTGCGTCTACTCGGATACTCTCGAAGTGACACAGGAGCGTATCTCACACGTACCGAAGGAACTGGCATCCACATTTCCTAGCCCATCATTTTACCCACGAAACGGAGAAGCCCGAAACGCTAGGGACGCCGAAGCAAGGGCGCTACCAGGACAACTTTCGGGCTGCTTCTGCGTCCAAGTCAAAGAACGTTGGAGTATCGTCCGGAAATCTTCGCCGGGGTGCCTGA